AAAGAAACTCATATAAAGAGCCTGGACTGATGAATACAAAAGAAAGGAGTCATAAGTAGCTTTTCTTTTACATCTTATCAGAAAGTACTCGAAGTTATTCAGAAGTGATTTCTCAGATGATAATGATTCACAGGGCTCAACACCTTGTTCGCCCACTGTCCATGGATCTTTGGAGGATGGTTGTGTGCCTGGACGCAATAGTTATGTGTTCGACCGTCAACTCTCGAAACTCAATTCTTTTAATTTTCGACCAACCTTCAAAAGATCAGAGCACATGCCCTTACCTCCGGAAGAGTTGAGATGTCCAATATCATTACAAATTATGTACGACCCCGTTATTATTGCTTCTGGGCAAACATATGAAAGGATTTGCATAGAGAAGTGGTTCAGTGATGGACATGATACTTGTCCAAAAACTCAGCAGCAGCTACCTCATCTTTGTTTGACTCCCAATTACAGCGTTAAGGGTTTGGTGGTCAGTTGGTGTGAACAGAATGGAATTCCTGCTCCAGATGGCCCACCAGAATCTCTTGATCTTAACTACTGGAGGTTAGCCTTTTCAGAAAGTGATTCTGCTAATTCAAAATCGTTGGAAAGTGTGGGGTCCTGCAAGTTCAAAGGTGTTAAGGTGTTCCCGTTGGACGATAGTGGTATTATTCAGGAGGCTGAAGAAAATGAAGCAGACTCTGTTTCTCAAAAGGAGGATGATTGCGAGGTTAATACCTTTGAACGTTGTGATTATTTTTTGATGGTTTTAGGCAGGGAAGATGACCTAATGAGGAAGTGCAAGGTAGTAGAAACTATAAGGCACTTGCTGAAAGATGATGATGAAGCCAGGATTTATATGGGGGCTAATGGTTTTGTTGAAGCATTGTTGCATTTTTTGCAGTCTGCTGTATGTGCAAGGAATGAGATGGCTCAGGAACTTGGAGCAATGGCCCTTTTCAACCTTGCAGTAAATAATGACAGGTATGCTCTTGTATACCAGTTTTGAAGTTGTTATTAAGGAATGACTGAGATCTGTGCAGCTTTAAGATTTCTTTTAGGAATTGTATACTACAAATGAACAGACATAACAAAAGCATCGTAAAAGAAATTTTTATTACCATCTGACAGTCTGACTATAGAACGATAATTGTATCCTCTCTCTTAACATCTCAAAGTTTTAAGAGGTAGTTTAACATGGCATTAGAGCCTGCCAAAAAATAAAATAAAATGGAGTTTAAGTTTGATGTAGGACAATCCTATTTGTAATGGGATTTCTTGTTGTATCTCTCTTTCTTCTTTCTCTTTAGAATATGATTTCTTCTTCTTTCTTGTTGAGAAAGGGGTTGTCCTATATTAAGGTTTCACCGGCCACCGCCTCTCATTTATGAAAATAGTCACGTGCCAAGCTTTTGATGGAAAAAGAAACCGGCCTACATGCTAGGGGGGCTTGCTAAAGACTAAGTCCTTGTTTGAAAGTCATTATATCTGGAAGTCACTTTTTCCCACACTCATTTTTAACCATACCTTCTAAAAAATAAATCATTTTCACGTTTCCCCTTAACTTTTTACTACACATTCTAAAAAAAAAAAAAATCACTTTTCAAAAATTAATTTCGCACGCACTAATTTAAACGAATTAATTGTCCTTTCTATATCAGCTTAAATTTTAGACAAGATGGTGCAACAATTTTTCAGTAATCTTTAATGTAGAAACTTTGCACTGAGATTTACAGAGAAGTTATGCAATTAGATTAATGATTGCCTTCCAACTGTTGTTGATCGTCCAGATGAAAAATGTTCTAGTACAAATTTTTTGTCAATGTGAAGACACTGGATTGTATCCATCTTCTAATGGATAAGCCGGAATATATTGATAATGGAAACTTTGTCTCGGTGATATTGTTTCTCGTGGACTTGGCTAAGTATATTAAGCCTCCGTTTCAAATTACTCCGTTATCGACTCGGTGGAACCAATCAAATATATTTACATATACATGCATGTCTGTATGTGTATTTAACTTGACTTAAAGTGAATTTTGCTCACTACCTCTAACTAAAGTTATGGGTTCACAAATTGATACAGTCTTCTGGTGCATATGTTATGAGCATTATAATGAACTTTGCTGTCCTTCTTGCTTTTCAGAAACAAACAAATAATGATGGCATTGGGAGTACTTCCGGTGCTGCAGGAACTCATTGCTAATTCCAATTTTGTTGGAGCAGCAACAGCACTTTACTTGAATCTTTCTTGCCTTGAAGAGGCCAAGCCTGTCATTGGCTCGACTGAGGCTGTCCCTTTCTTGATCTGCGTCCTCCGACATGAAAATGATCCTCAATGCAAGCTTGATGCGCTCCACGCCCTCTACAATCTTTCCAGTCACCCAACCAATATTCCCCGCCTTCTGCCATGTGGCATCGTCGAAGGCCTCCAAGCTCTTATTACACATTCAACTGACAGCACTTTCACCGAGAAAAGCATCGCAGTTCTTATAAACTTAGCATCGAGTAAAACTGCAAGAGATGAAATTATACTGGCTCCTGACCTTGTTAGTGGGCTCGCTACGGTTTTGGATGTTGGTGAGCTTGTTGAACAAGAACAAGCTGCAGCATGTCTGCTGATATTATGCAATGGGAACGAGACATGCAGTCAAATGGTCCTTCGAGAAGGGGTGATACCTTCATTGGTGTCAATATCGGTAAATGGAACCGTAAGAGGGAAACAAAAAGCTCAGAAGCTTCTCATGCTGTTCCGCGAACAGAGACAACGTGATCCATCACCATCTCCTGTCCGGCAGCCTGAAAGTAGTGACACAGTCAAGTCTGCTCGAGATTCAAAGCCACCGTGCAAGTCAGAGTCGAGAAGAAAAATGGGAAGGAGATGGAGTTTTTGGTCGAAAAACAAGAGTTTTTCAGTATATCAGTGTTAAGAGTTGCTAGGGTTTTTCTCGTCAGTGTTGTAAATTTCTATCATACAATATCCCTTTTCGTCTTTTCTGCCCTTTATATGGGCATTGTTTCTTGTTAGTTTCTCATAGAAATGTATATGCCCTTCAAGTCAGATGGTTTTGCCTCATCCTGCATGCTATGAAGTGGTGTACCTTTGTAATCAAGATGCGTCTAATGCATATATACCAATATGGAGATCAAACTAATTCAACGATGTACGTGAACGAAGTACGAGTCTCACTCGTGAAGTTTGCTCTTTTTTATTGACAGTTTTATGAGAGTATCGGACAATGCTAGGAAGATGCCCGGAATCGATTGTATGTGCCGATTCAAGGCTAGGAACGCTGGCATTAGGATTTAAGGAAAGGTCTATCAAAAGTTCTAAACGAGTATAGATTGGCAAATAAGCACAAAAATAGGTAAAGGAATGGAAACACAACTTGCACCTTCTACGATCAATTCCATCTGCCTTTGGCGTGAAGATGGCACACACAATGGAGTGTTGAATTACGATATGACTTGCTTTTGGGAGGTCGACTTGGGCAGCAAACTAAGCCTTCTCGAGAGCAAAAGTCGGCTAGGATTTGTTATGTGTATGTTAGAATTCATTTCATAAGATTTGACAACATGTGGATCCTTTGGTTTCACGTATTAGTAATTGTATAAATATAATCGTAGGCTTTAAAAAGCAAATTAATTAAAAGCAAATGTTAATATTTTTTGTAAGTAATGTATATTATGCCATTGTTTGATGGGAATTAAATCAAATTTCTTGGCAATTCCCTTTTTCATAACTAATGCATGCTAGATGTGTCAATCCGGGTGGTCTGGACTGGGTTGGTCCTGCCAACATATGAGCCC